AACTTTGTCATTGCACATGCGGCACTTGGTATCTGATACCTGCACTTGAGTCTTTCTTTGCTGATATGATTTTGTTGGTAGTAACTGCTGTCTGATGTTTTTGTTCACGCTGTAAACAATGTCGGGTATATTTTTCCAGGTAGTATGGATATTGTTTGCATTACTGGACATATCTGGGTCTTTGAGTTGCTTTATAGTCAGCTGTCCTAGCCATTTTTGTTCTTCTACTTCTTTGATGTGTTTATCATGTWCAGCATTGTTAAGGATGTCCTTGATCGTTTGTGGGTTGGCTTTATTTACGGTTGTTGTTTTGCTGTTCGAAGTGATGCTGGTTCCTGTTTCATCAAATGTACACTCGAGATCATATTCATTTGCAAACTACTTGGTTGCCTGTTTAAATATGGATTTTCTTCCTTTTGCAATCTTGTTTAATTCAAGTGTTCGTGCAAGTTTAATTCTGCTGTCAGTGGAGTTGTTCAGGTAGTTTGCCATCTTTATCGTTGTGACCTTGTAGGTGTCTTCAGCGCTTCTAAGGCCGCTTCCTCCATCTTCCTCCGGTAGGTACAGTAGCTTTACTGACTCATTGTAGTGCATCCCTCCTTCTTTTCTTRTGATTTCTCTGGTACGTCTGTCAATTTCCTTCAGTTGGTTTATCGTCCAGTCACTTGTCCACATGTGATACTGGAGTGAGGGTAATGCAAAGACTTTGGTTGCATGGACTTTTCTTGGGATAGAGATGTTGCTTKTCCATATAACTGACACTCGTTTCAGGTATTCCTTACTGGCCTCATCACGGACTTGTTCTTCTAGTTGTATCGAATTTTCGTATTTGCCGAGGAATTTGTAGTGGTCATTGTATCATTATAACCTGGAGAGGTGATGATGGGTAATTACCAGAGAGTGAACTAATCCCTTATATCGCGCTGCGCTTGCCCTCGTGCCCTCGTGCCCCAGTTGCGATCCTTTGTCCTGCATGCGAGTTCTACTCTGATTTGATCAAGCAACTGCGAGCGAACGTCCTCTCGTCAACAGACAATCTCTACCGTAAGCTCAATCTCGTATCGCCTATACTATCATGTCAAAACAAACGACTAGAAAATCAACCAAACTCAAAGATTCACCACGGTCTACGCTGTTTGACCAACTGCATCAATTCGAAGGTATTGAGGTAGACGAAGGGGAGCAGTTTCCCTCTCTACCACGACCGTCAGCGACAGCGAACACAGCAAGCTCATCCGTAGCGCAGGAGCTACAAGTTGTCCAGCTACAGAAGGAGAAACTTCTGTTAGAATTAAAAGTTTTACGCGAGTTGGAGGGCACAAAACCAATACAGGAATTGAAGAAAAGAGTAATCGATTGGCCTCAAAACTTCGTTCCAGGTATGTCTGCGAGCCCAAGGAATGCATTATCGATATACTTGAACTCATATCGACCAAAGCTATCAGCTACTCCTGGAGTAGTGTTCGTGGTTTTTATTCATATCTTGCTAGACAAGTTGAGCAGAGACGGCTAGATTGGTCTCAATTCAACGAAATAAGGAATGCTAGTACAACCTTCTTTAAACACTCCGACCTAAAATCATCGACACCAAAGGGCAATACTCCACGTCAGTCTACATCGGGAAACGGAGAAAAATCGAMCGAAAAGGGCTGCCAAACATGGAATTATAAAGGAATGTGTTCATGCGACAAGGCSTCGGATAACTTTGCAAATACACACGTATGCCGCGTGTGTAAGGCGTCTGATCATCCRATGTTAAATTGCCCGAAACGCAAAATGCCAATACCGGACAGCCAATGACATCAAAATTCATGCAACTTAATTCATCAGTTAACGGACAATGGAGGGAACTCAAAATCGGACAATGATAAAATGGACATGATCACACAACATACGCCTCCACAACATGCTACAAGAGCGGTTATTACACATTTACTCGCGTCAAAAGACGAACGACCCATACCCTGGGAATCAGAGGCTGGATTTACTCGTTCTTGTAGTTTATATACGGCGCGAAGCGCCGTCCTTGAGGCCGAAGGCCGAACCGTAAACCAGCCTCTGGTGGCACGGATAGCGAATCTCACTTCCATGTCAGTGTTTACATTCAAGATCTGAATGTTGCAGCTGATTGGTCCGTTGATATCGGAGCGATATTATTGGCTGAAAAGCAAAACCGGTTTTTCACCGGATACTCGACGAGTGATGAGCTGTCATCGAGGTGTCAGAATCAAACGAGACATGGCGTCCGAATCAAGTAATCTTACAAGCATATTTAAACAAGCGCTCTCTTCTGCTGTTAACTCTCTCTTTCCTGAGATTGAAAGCGTAAAACAAGAACAAGAAAAAGCTATCTTTGAAATTTTGAAAAGGCGAGATGTTTTTGCGGTTTTGCCGACTGGATACGGCAAATCTTTCGTCTTCCAAGTCCTTCCTGTTTTGACCGAATTGCTGAACTCATATGGACTTCAATTCCCGAAAAAAGCAATAATAATTGTTTTGTGTCCACTTACTTCGCTCGTGGAGTCTCACATCGATGAATTGAAGAAACGTGGACTGAATGCTTGCTCTCTAACAGGGGAATGTGTCGACGAGAAAGGACTTAAAAATGGCGACTACTCCTTTGTATTCACAAGTCCTGAGTGCTTACTCAACGTCGAGAAGTGGCGATCAATGCTGAGAAGCGAAATCTACCAAAGCAATTTGTTTTGCCTTGTTACTGATGAAGCTCATGTCGTACCAAAATGGTAAGAGATTTAAGATTTTTTAGAGGTTAATATACCTGGTTTCGATATTTTCTCTGTTCGCTACTGGTTTTGTTTGCCCGAAACGCCGTATTCTATAACTTATAAATGTAACCTAGAAGTCAGAAGAATACTAGAAACAAAACGCCAACGTGATTATTTTTTTTCTTTATCTACTAAAAATAAACATATTTTATATGTACCATACAGTGTTACAGTAATGGGCAGTCTATAGAATTTCTTTACAAAACACAACAAACTCATGGAGATACCAAACTCACAACAAATTTTAAAACAATGAGAAAGAAAAAGAACTACTAACTACTGACAAGAATACAATTTAAGATGTTTGCAGCTAGCTCAGGTTCTTATACTGTTCTCAGTGTTATTAATTATTATTATTTTCAGATTTCATTTTATTGAGTTCACTCTAATTGTATTTTAGGGGCCATGGTAATGCTAAAGAGCGAAAGGCAGCTTTTCGTGAAAGCTTTGGACGAATTGGTGATTTGCGCTCACTCATGCCTGTGGGATCACCAGTACTTGCCCTAACAGCTACTGCCACAAAAGAGGTCACAAGAAAGACTGTGGAAGCTCTTGGTTTGAAAAACAATTACATGAATATTCGAGTCAGCCCTAACAGATCAAATATTTTCCTATATAAAGAGCGCACCACAAATGATCTATCCTGTTTCTCTTGGATTATTAATTCATTGAGGGAAACCAAGGAAAAGTCCCCTAAATGTATYATTTACTGTAAACGTCAAGTGGACTGTGGATATTTGTATCGACACTTCATGCAAGAACTTGGAGAAAATGCATATGTGACCAACACATCCCATGAGTCCAAAAATAGTCTKATTGGTATGTATCATTCAAAAACTTTGCAAAAGCAAAAGGATCGTGTCATCAATGATGCACTTGATGAAGATGGCATATGTCGGGTTGTTTTAGCTACCACAGCTTTAGGAATGGGTATAAATATMCCAAATGTAAGATATGTCATCCATTATGGACCCCCAAAGGAAATGGATTATTTTGCACAAGAAATTGGCAGAGCAGGCCGTGATGGCCTGGATTCTATATCAATCATGTATTACAGAGGGGCACAAACACACCGTTGTTCGAAGCAAGTTTTGGACTATGCAAGAAAGGAGTCAGTTTGTCTTCGGGAACAACTTCTTGCTTCATTTGAAGAGACTGTAGTTCCAAATAAAGGAACCCACAAATGCTGCATGGTTTGTCACCTATCCTGCAAGTGTGAGGATGTATGCCCTGTGCCATTATGGTCTCCTTCAAACAAGACAGCAGGTCCATCCAATGTAGAGGAAAAAAGAACAAGGAAAGTTTCAAAAGGAGACAGAGAACTTTTGAAGGCCCTGCTAAGTGAGTTTAAAACAAAACTGGCTAATAAGTGCCCTTCCTATTATTTAACACCTGAGTCAACAACTGGATTTAGTGACTCAGTGATTGCTTCAACTGTAAAAAGTGCCAAGTATATTTTCACCTTTCAAGATGTCTTAGATTATGTACCTGTTTTTTCAAAGAACCACGCAATAGAGATTCTCTTGATTTTCAATGACATATTTGAAGACATACAGGTAGATGCTGCATTATTGGAACAACATACAGAGCATCCAATTGATATTCTGGATTATGATCTGGAATATTGTGAAGATTATTTATCAGACAGTTCATATGACAGTTCAAATGGGTCTGATGTATCTATGGATTCAGTTTTATCAGGAATTGATGTTCTACAATAACTATAAGTGTTAAAAATTTCTTATCTCCATAATAATAATAAAAATAATAGTCTTTATTAATGAGATTACTGTGTTCATCGTACACTACAAATGTTGAATTCAAAGAACTTTAAATTTACAAGAATAAGTCATGATGGATATTAATTGGTTTTTAAAACTTACAATGTGTATTATTCTATATTGATTATTCAAGATTATGCAGCCTTTTCATGTGCGTTTTTATCCACTGATTCAAGAGTCTAAAGTTAAGTGTTGATAAAATGTTTCTAGAGAACCTAGGAAATCGCTGGTACTGACGTTCAGCAGAAGCATTATACTCAAAAACCTTACCACGAGAGTGTAGCTCGCTTACAATTTTACAGAAGTCAGCCTCTGACTTCTTATTAATGTGCTTTCCAGATGGCTGACTAACACTCATGTCTGCATCCATGTTATCTAGTAATTGCTCTAGCAAACTTATGGACTTGCTGTACCGTGTACAACAATTTTCAGATTTTATGTTTGGCCCAAGATTTTTCAATAAACCTTTCAACAGATTATTAAGGTGCTCAAGTCTTAAGTCCAGGGAAATGTTGCGGCCTTTTCCACCTTTTGTGTTCACAGTTCTGTTCCATGTTATGCAGTGAGCTTGTCTTGGTGTTAACATTGCTTGTACTCCTGCTTGTAGGTGAAGGCTTACTAATGCATATTTACTGTGCTTGTATGCTCTAAATATTAATAAAGCAAACTTCCAACATCTGATGAGTCTGTCACCATCTCCTTCACGGTCTGCGTCATCAAAGTTTTTGAGAAAGAGACCAAAGTTTAGTCGTGCACATGAATAATTGAACCTGGTGAGAGAAATGTATTATTGGCAAATGCTCAATTCAGACATCTAGGCAGCCATTTGATAGTGGTTTCATAGAAATAATGGAGCCATTAAGTGTACTCGGGTACAAAGAAAAGTCTGTAACATAAAATACTAAATACTGCTTAGCATGTACTCATTAAACTCTTTCATGTACATAGTACATGACTTTGTAATTTTCCCATATACCTGTCATCAGATAGTGTGTCATCAGGTGTCTTTGTAGGTAAAGTCTTGTCTTTATCAGAGTTTGATGAGTCTTCATGAACCACACCATGAACCTTTTGAGAACAAGATGTTGAAATTACTATATTAAATGAGATAAAGGGCATAACTAGTTTGTACACACCTTCCTTTCATGATTGTCTCTTGCTTTTCTGTATTTGTATTCTTTTTGACAAACACTACATAGGTGTAATGTATGTGGAGTAGGTGTATTGGCTGCTTGAACTTCATTGACCACTAGATCATGGAAGGAATTCTGTTCATTCATTACAAACCTTTCCAACATTACTTTAACATGAGAGTGTAGCCATATTCTTTTCTTTTGGTTGTCTGCACTGATTATTACTGGTGGGATAAATTCTTCTTTTGCTGTATTAATGTTGTCCATGCCAAAGTACTTCATGGAAGCAGTTACAACAAAAGCATCTGTCTCCATGTTGACATATTCCTTGCAGTTGTTGAAGTTGTCTAAAACATTTGCAGTCTTAGCATTTACACAGTCAATTATATTCATGTTACAGCACATGGTACCAACATCTGCAGGTGAGGTTGATTTGAAGAAAACATCATATAGAACCTAATAATAACCAAAACAAAATTCAGAGCGATTAATACAATTAAGTATTAGTGCTTGAGCAGGGACTGTTTTGGAGAGCTGCTACTAAAAAAATTATCTGGGAAAATATTGATACTATGAATGCAGTGATTGTAGTGTTTATGAATTTGATGTAACCTGATACAAAGTACGAATGGCATGCCAGTCTTCTGCTTTAGGTATGAAGCCTTCAAGTCGTTCATATGGAGTGTCACCATCACTTCTGACAGTTGTGGCATTCCTTGCTCTTTCCTCTGTCAGTTCATCTCCTCCAAAAAATGGCTTATATAGAATTTCTCTCGAAATGTTGTCCTCTTCTTGATAGCTCAGAGATACAGGGAGGTACTTGGTGTGCAGTTCTTCTAGGATTTCTATCATACCATCATTTGTGTTCTCATTCTTAAAAAGGCAACCAAGGAAATTCTGGAAAGTGGGCAAATAAACAATATGTTATCCGCCTGTTAGATTCATGGTTATGCTATATAGCAATAAAGTTATTGTAACATATTTAAAAGCCTTAGTCTCTAGTCATTTCCTTGAATGCAAAGCACATTTTTCTATAAAAATTAATATAAATCTACTATTGTTTTCTACAAAAATATGCAATAAAAATGTAAATATATCTAATATGTGGAAATGAAATAAAGATTGTTGTTGTTAACAAAATTCTCAAAATTTATTAACTAACAGTTAGTTCAGCAATTCAATGCCTTTATCATCAAACTAGAACACCAACAAAGTTGGTGTTTTTTCCTTTGCATTTTTCAAATCTTAATCAATTACAGTCACATTTACAGGACTAAGAATTACCTGTTCTGATTTCTGTTCCGTTATCTGTGAGTATGTGTGGGGAATGTGGCTCACTATTGCTTTTTTGAACACTTGGTTTATGGCTGGAATCCTGATAATCAATATTCTAGCAACAAGTGGAATCAAGTCATGAAGAAGATCTTGGTTGTCCTTTGGCGAAGGTAGGAAATCAACCACTTCCATGTCCAGGATTGACTTGATTGGCTTATCATTAGGAAATTCTTTACCATCAATGCGGTCAAGAATAGCATTCAGATTGAACCAATGGATGGAGCTATTCTGGTTTGTGGATGACTGGTGTTTGGCTCTTACATAGAAATCAACATTGTCTCCAATTATCTGGTATCTGGGTGAGAATGACTGATTTATTTGTGGGCTGTTAAGTTGCAGAAGTTCTTTTTGAGCAATAACATTATATATCTTCTCATCAAACTTATTTCCAAGCTTACTTTTTACAAGCTCCTTAAGGTTTTCATTATAAGATGGTTGGCTGGAATGCACATCATTTAAAGGGTATGTCAAATCCAGGGAAGATACATCAACAGTTGCTACTCCTACTTTATTCATCATATCTTGTTCTTTCATTATTTCTCTGATGCTTGTATTGTGAATCTCAAATTTGCGGCTGCCTTCTTTCATTTCTTTCCACTGAAGAATTTCTTTATCAAAGTTCTCTCCAAATCTGTCAATCATCTTGAGTGTTTGTCGGTGACTCATACACAGACCAAATTGACTTCCACGCGTAAACAGCTGAAAAACAAAAGCAGCTATAAATAATGTATTAACATAATACATTGTCTCTAAAACTGTGATGAGTGAGTTGGCACATAAAGGTATTGATAACTCATAATTTATAATCCTTTATATTAGCTAAGACTTTAATGAGGACTAACATGTATCTGGTTTCCCCCCCCCTTCTGTACCTGAACTTGTCAATATTCACATGGCAAAAAATAAACAAAATAAATTTTACTCTTGGTTTAATTCAAATTTACAAATTTCAAGCAGCACCAGTAGGGCTGCTTTATGGCCATTGCTATATGAAATTGCACTATGATAAAATACAACCACTTTGCATTTAATATATAGTGTATGACCCTAATCGTAGTGCACTATAAATCCATACCTGTTTCTCTGCTCCTGCATGCCAGAAGAGCAAAGACATTTTGTAACTAAGAGCAGAGATGGCAGGATTCCTGCTTCGAAGCATCAATGAGATGGCAATTCCAACTGCCCATGAAAACGATTTATCTCTTTTTTTCTTTCTTTCCCTAGCTCTCTTTTCCTTGTCTCCCTTTTCCTTGTCTCCCTTTTCCTTCTTTTTCTTGTCCATGTTCTGTTTTTCTTCGTTGTTAAAATTGGCCGCAGCTCTTAAACATTTATATAATGTCGGCGCTTTGCTGTTAAGCTCTTTGTCAAGTTCCTAAGAAACACAACAATGTTGTAATAAGTTGCTGTTTTGTTTTACGTTATTTATAGCTGTAACCAAGTTATTATATCCATTAATTCGTCGTATCTCCTGTTACTTACTTTTGAATTTAAGTTTACTATATTCTCAGGTGTTCTATCGTGGAGTACAGAGGGATCTTTTTCTGAACACAAGAACTTGCACTCGACATTTATGTCTTTTTCAATACATTTCAAGGCAGCGTTTTTAATTTCTTGATTTAACATCATGGTGTTTGCGGCTGTAGAATATTCTCCCATCGCTAGATTTCGGACGATGCGCGCATCCTCGCCTTCCAAGTCCTTATCTATTTTCTTAGAAGGATAAACTATAGTCACCTGAAGATATAAGATAAAAATGATTGTATTGATTTCCTGCCTATACATTGGTGTTTGCTAAAATAAGCATTTGGTTTTGACTTTTGCATTATTATTATAAGTTCACTTTTAAAAAATTACAAACCTTGACAGTTGTATATTTCTGCGTAGTTGTCTCAAAGACATCGTCGTCGTAGTTAAACGCGTCCGTAAAAGGGTTTTGATCTTTGATTTCTTGTATTGTTGGTGTGTTGTTTTTTGCGTTTTGTCCTCTCAAGATGCTTTTAGAAACTTTCCTGGCCGCGAGTTTCACAGGCTTTTCAGCGCTACTTGGAGATTCGCTGTGCAATCTCTTAACGCGGGAATTCACAGTTAAATCTGTACGATCGTAACAGCTCCTAAGGTAAACTTCTTTCAAATCGGGTAGTTCTTTATCCAAAATAGCTTTACACTTTTCGAGTTTTTCTAACTTGCGAATGCAGGTCAGACATATGTATCCGTCAGCTGTAAATTCACACTTGAATAATTTACCAAAACGTTCGCAAAAACGATCTTTTTTAGCCTTTTCTCCAGTTAAATTAAAAAATCCGATCTTGAGATTTGGAAGGCTGCAGCTGCAAACTTTGCAGATCCGCGAAAATACTGGTTTTACAGGCGTCTTCTTCATGGAGATTTTTTTGCTTACATTTTGTGAGAATTCTGACACATTCACGCACGTGGAACAGAGATCAGTGAGCCGTAGCATGTAAACATTCACCT